GCACATCGGGGACACACGTGGGACACACGCGGGGAATGTAAGGGGCACATATGGGACATGCACGGGACACACGGGGGAACACCGGGGACGTGGGGACATGCAGGACACACATGGGGACACAGGGGGACCACATGGGACATGGGGACACACAGGACACACATGGGGCAGATGGGACCACATGGGACATGGGGACACGCAGGGGACACAAATGGGGCAGGTGGGAACACATGGGACATGGGGACACACGGGGGACACGCGCAGGGGACAACAGGGGCACACGTGGGAGGTGGGGACACAGAGGGGAGACATGGAGGACACGTCGGGGGGCAGACGTGGGAGGGGTGGGGGGACACATGGGAAATACACGGGGCACACATGGAATGTGGAGACACACACAGGACACAGGGGGACCACATGGGACCACATGGGACGTGGGGACACACAAGGGGAACACGTGGGACGTGACACACACAGGAGACATGCACAGGACACAGCAGAAACACGTGGGATATGGGGGGACAGATGGGACACACGCAGGGGACAATGGGGGCACACGTGGGAGGTGGGGACACACAGGGGGACACATGCAGGAGGCATCGGGGTCACACATGGGAGGTGGGGACACACAGGGGACACGCACAAGAGACACAGGGGGACGTGCATGCAACACATGGGGGGACACATGGAACATGGGGACACACATGGGGCACACATGGGAGACGTGGGACACAGAGGACTCAGGGGGCACAGAAGGGACGTGGGGACACACACGGGTCAAGCAGGAGACAAGGCAGAGGAGACACGTGGGACACAAGATGGCACAGGCACGAAGGGGACACGGGAGTCGCAGGGCACAGAGAGGGGACATTGGGCAGACAGGGAACACGGGAGCCACAGGATGCACAGGGGACACACAGCAGTCACTCCTGGGACACCGAGGACCCAGGCAGGGGACAGTGACGGGGTGCAGAGGCAGGGGCTGAGGTGCCACCACCATGGGGACACCACTGTGACGAGCCCGGTGTGCCCCGAGCCAGGCACCCCGTGACCACCTGGGAGCCACGGGCCACCCGGCAGCGTGTCCCAGCCATCGCCGTGACCTTTGGAGCGGGGAAGTCACGCTGAGGTGTCCCCACGTGCAGCCCAGGGACAGGACCCCCGGCTGGTCACCAGCCCCCCCCTCAGCATCACCTGTGGCTGGGTGCCACCCAGGGGCTGGGGGACAGGCTGGGTGACAAACCCAGCGGGGCCGTCGGGGCTGCTCCAGCCTTGCTCTGGGGACACCGAAGCCACCCCACGCGGGTGACCTTGGCCTTTCTGCCCCATCAGCTGCACGGCAGGAGGGTGCCCGGTCCCGGGGAGAGCACCCCACAGAGCAGGGCAGAGCACCGGGCACCCGTGGGTGGCTCGTGGGGGGCACCCAGCCGCCGTCAGCCCCCACGCGGCTCCCCCAACCCTACGGGGCCTTCGTCACCGAGCTTAAATGCGACTGTGACCCAGGGGGGTCTCCTGTCACCTACCCCGTCACCCAGGGGGGTCGTGCCTCAGTTTCCCCATCGGAGGGAAATATCGCAACCCCCCCCGTTTTTCGTGGGGTGCCCACGCGGGGCATTGCCCTGGCGCTGCCGGGGCCGGTGGGAACGGGGTGGGGAGGGCCCGTGGGGCGGGGAGGGGGGCAGCACCCACCACCGCACACCACCCCGGGGGTCCGGCCGGGGCCGGGGGGCGGGCGGAAAGCCCGAGAGGCGGCGGGGACAGAGAGCACCCAGCGGCGGCTAATTTAGAATTTCACACCCACATCAAACAGGCAGATGTCTATAATCTATTATTTGTGATCCCGCTCGACGGAGCCCGCACTCCTGCTCTCCCTCCCTCCCTCCCTCCCTCCCCGCTGCCCAGCCATGCAGGCGCCGGCGGCGGCGGAGCGCAACAAGGGCCCGATCCTGGCGGTGCTGCGGGAGTACGCGGGGCCCGGCGCCCGGCGGGTGCTGGAGGTGGGGGCGGGCGCGGGGCTTCACGCCGCCCACTTCGCCCGGGCGCTGCCCCACACCCGCTGGCAGCCCTCCGACATCGACCCCCAGGCGCTGCGCAGGTGAGCACTGGGGGGGAAGGAGGGCCCGGGGAGGGGGTCCGGGGGGGGGGCACAACCTGCAGAACCCCCCCAGCCCCACGGCCCCACGGCCCGCGCTCCCCGCTCCCCGCTTCGGTCCTTATTTTTAAGCAGGAAATCCCCGAGATCCCGCTCGGGCAGCCCGGGCCCCCCAGCTCGATGGTTATTTGTAAGGAGGAGGTACCCGCTGTCCCACATCCCTCCTGGGGGCTTTGTTGTTGTCCAGGAAAACTCCAGGATTTATCTCTCGGGCAGCCCAGGCTCCCCACCTCCCTACTTTATTTTTTTTTTGACAGAAAAGACTCAAGATTCAACTCCCAGATGACCCAGGCTCCCCAAGTCGATGCTTTATTATTTTATTATTTTTTTTCCAGTATCCAACTCCCAAACAGCCCACACTCCCCAGCTCAGTACTTATTTTTTTTTCCCAGAAAAGCCCCAATATTCAGCTCTCCAACAGTCCCCCCCCCATCCCCAGCTATGGGGTGATTCCTGCCCGCAAAGCGCCTGGCCATGCCGTGGTGGTCACCTTCCTCTTATCCACTGCGATGGTCCGTGGTGATGCCAGGCCTGGTGCCCAGCTCGCCAGGACACCCCAGTGTCCCGCTCCCAGCATCACACCACCCCGGTATTGGCCAGCGCAGCCAAATTTTTTTTTGACAGAAAAGACTCAAGATTCAACTCCCAGATGACCCAGGCTCCCCAAGTCGATGCTTTATTATTTTATTATTTTTTTTCCAGTATCCAACTCCCAAACAGCCCACACTCCCCAGCTCAGTACTTATTTTTTTTTCCCAGAAAAGCCCCAATATTCAGCTCTCCAACAGTCCCCCCCCCATCCCCAGCTATGGGGTGATTTCTGCCCGCAAAGCGCCTGGCCATGCTGTGGTGGTCACCTTCCTCTTATCCACCACGATGGTCCGTGGTGATGCCAGGCCTGGTGCCCAGCTCACCAGGACACCCCAGTGTCCTGCTCCTGGCATCACACCACCCCGGTATTGGCCAGCGCAGCCAAATGCCCATTTCAGGCACTGGGTCGGAGGGCTCGGTTACCATTCAGGGAACCAAAATAAACCCATCACTGCGGCGCGGGGAGGAAAAATATAAAGTTATCAGGGAGGTGCCGAAATGGGCACCTGTCTGGGGGCGGGGGGGCAGCCGGTGTCCCCTTCTCCGGCGGCAGGTCCCAGCCCTGGTTAAAAATAATCCCCAGGCCGGGGCTGGGAAGCTGTGGTTCCCTGCTCCAAGGCGTCGGGAGCCGAGCCCTGGCTGGGGAATGTGCTGAAAAAGGTATAAATTGCACCAAAATCAGAGGGGAGTGGTGCAGCGGTGCTGGCCCGTGGTGATGCCAGGCCTGGTGCCCAGCTCGCCAGGACACCCCAGTGTCCCGCTCCCAGCATCACACCACCCCGGTATTGGCCAGCGCAGCCAAATGCCCATTTCAGGCACTGGGTCGGAGGGCTCGGTTACCATTCAGGGAACCAAAATAAACCCATCACTGCGGCGCGGGGAGGAAAAATATAAAGTTATCAGGGAGGTGCCGAAATGGGCACCTGTCTGGGGGCGGGGGGGCAGCCGGTGTCCCCTTCTCCGGCGGCAGGTCCCAGCCCTGGTTAAAAATAATCCCCAGGCCGGGGCTGGGAAGCTGTGGTTCCCTGCTCCAAGGCGTCGGGAGCCGAGCCCTGGCTGGGGAATGTGCTGAAAAAGGTATAAATTGCACCAAAATCAGAGGGGAGTGGTGCAGCGGTGCTGGCAGGGTGCAGGCAGCTGGGGGTATGGGTGCGGGCAGCCTGGGCTATAGGTGCAGGCAGCCTGGGGTATGGGTGCAGGCAGCCCAGGGTTATGGGTACAGTCAGGGTGCAGGCAGCTGGGGGTAAAGGTACAGGCAGGGTGCAGGCAGCCCAGGGTATGGGTGCAGGCAGGGTGCAGGCAGGCAGGGGTATGGGTGCAGGCAGGGTGCAGGCAGCCCAGGCGTTTGGGTGCAGGCAGGGTGCAGACAGGTGGGGGTATGGGTGCAGGCAGGGTGCAGGCAGGGTGCAGGCAGGCGGGGGTAGGGGTGCAGGCGGTGCTGCAGGCAGCCCAGGTGTTTGGGTGCAGGCAGGGTGCAGGCAGCGCGCAGGCAGCCTGAGCACGTGGGTACGGGCAGCGCGCAGGCAGCTGGGAGGGCAGGGTGCCTTGCTGAGAGGCAACGGGGAACTGGGAGGGATTTTTAGGTGCTGGAGTCTCTCAGTCCATTCACGGGGGGGTTCTCTGGCTGCTGGGGGTTGTTTGGCTGCCCCCCCAGCAGCGCCGTCACCCTTTGGCTTGTTGCAAAGCTCGGTGATACCAAACCCCTCGCCCTGCGCTGAGCGCTCCCCCACCAGGCTGTGTGCAAGCACAACCTTATATTAGCCATCAGAGACTCCACCGCAGCCAGCGCGGGCAGGTTTTGGGGCTGCCTGCAGCGAGTGCTGGTGGGGGGCAGTGTGTGTGTGTGTTGGGGGGGGTGATGATGCCCCAATTGGGGTTGACGTGGGGTTTGGTGCCCGCAGCATCGCTGCCTACGCGGAGGCCATGCGGGTGCCCAACATGCTGCCCCCCATCCTGCTGGACGTCTCGCAGGGCTGGGAGACGTGGGGGGGCACCCAGCCCGCCACCCTCGACCTCCTCGTCAGCATCAACATGATGCACATCGCCGAGCTGCGGTGCACCGAGGTGAGCTGGGGCCACGCTGGCCCTCGCCACGTCCCTGTCCCCTGGTCTGGGGGTCCCAGAGCCAAGGAGGGGGCTCCCGGGGGGGACCCCAGCTCTCTCTGAGCTGGTCCCCACCTCTCTCTTTCCCCAGGGCCTGTTCAAGGGTGCTGGGGTGCTGCTGAAGCCCGGAGGAGTGCTCTTCACCTACGGGGTGGGTGCTGCTCGGCATCCTCGGGGTGTCCCTGGG